TGTGAGGTAATAGTGATTAGCATTTGGATAATAATAGAGCGTTTGTAAAGTATTGCATTAGTCCTACCATGCGCTAACGTCGAGCAGTTTGCCGTTTATAGACTAAATTTAGGCCTACTACAATATCTGTCTGCAGTAGTACGACAATACACTATCAGGTAGGTATAATAGGACAGTCTAAGGCACTGCAGCAGGAAAAGGGCAATATTAGTGATGCTGGTAGTATTAAGGATAGTGGTTATACAAGCACATCAGGGCTTTCCTTGGTTTCTGCCCTCTCAACTCTATCCATCATGTTGTGTCATCTTATTGTTAACGAAATGTTATTACTTAGTATCGCAGGTTTTGTCATGTCACATGGGGCTACAGTAGCCTTTTGCGCTAGCACTATATCACTTTTTACCCTCACTCACCCATAGTGGGTGCCCAGAAATATTCGAGGCGCCCGAGTTTCGTATTCATAGCATTGCAACTACTGTTTATACTACCGCTTCTAGCGGTCCATCTGAGTGATTGTAGTGCTCCTAATATTTGGTCAGAAATGACCCTAACTGGAGTCAGGTCTGGGAGCGTGTTCCAGTGGTCTCACATTGGAGTGTGGACCTCGATTTTTGCTGTTCCCAGTAGAGCAGGTGTTTGGAGCTCGGAGTACATTAGTGCTTGTCCTGGTTTTCTCCTAAGTTTACACTGCTATGGCTACGATGCTACTCTTAGAAGTGCTGTGCCTATGTTAGGACTGCTAGTTCTAGTAATCATACTTGCTAGAATTTGTACGCACATGTATGACATGTTCACTTAGTGTGCAGTCTTAACCTATAAGGGGATGTTACTAAGTTCAAGCTTAAAGAAAGGTATGTGTACTAAGAGCTGAAGATCTAGCATGCATTTAGGTCAGAACAAAGTGACATGTGCCATTTTTAGGATACTTCTGTTAGAAGTGCTGTCTATGCTAAGTGTTAAAACCAGTAAGTGGCAAGCTACAATGTGGTCTGGTTGTGCATGTAGGAAATTGTAGCCTAATATGCAGTCGTTACCTATATGGAGATTATTTTTAGTAAGCTGAATGGTTAAAGAAACGTATATTTTAATACTAGCTGAAGATCTACCGCGCATTTAGGTCGTAACAGAGTGGCAGTATAGTGATGATATGGTATCAGGTAGATGATAGTTTGACCACCGATTTCGATTATGTCTACCATATGCCTCTCTTATAGTCACTGGCTGTAGCTTTCGATAGACAACGCAAAACCCCAGGTACCGTCTTTCTGCGTGATTAGCTTAGTGGTTACCATGCATTTGTCTCGCAAGGTATTGTCATTTACCGTTTTCAGGCTGAATATGGAATTTCTACCATATCCAGCTATAGTTTTTTCAGTTACAGAACGCCTCCTGTCTAACTAAGGGCACAACATGTCCCAGAATTTGCTTATCATAACAGCATGGTATAAGAGAAAACTTACGATCGTGCGGACCACCGCCAAATAACCACACGTTGGATAATCTGCCGTTGACTTACTGATGACACGATTTACAGCCGAATGAGTATGCGGTGTTTCCTTATAACTGACGAACCCACTGCTGTCTGAACTAGTGTTTTTGCTGCTCACATAGGATGGACCTCGTAGATGCAGAACGTAGGTACTTGAATAAGACAAACTTGGAAGTCAGTAGTATTGATAACCACAATATTTGTAAAGGAGGACCGATATTGCAGTTTTGTCCGGCACACCTTTTCTAGTTGCGTAATCAAGGATTGCTTATTGTCTGTAGCTAGGGATGCTCTACTTCTTAAAACGAAGAAATAAGTCCAGTCTGACTATCGCGGTTGGCCAAATTTCGATAGACACACTCTTTAATCAAAGATTGCTCCGTTTTTTGGCCACCCATGTCAGAATTCCAAAGCTACGGGCGTAGCTATAGACGACTTTAGTCAAAAAAACTTACATACATTTGAATTCGTTAACAGTTAGGGCACAAAAGGGCCAACTTTAATTCTACTATGCGATGAGGACAGGGCATAAAAACAGGAATAGTTTGTAATCTGGGCGTGGCTTTGCGCTTAATTGCAGGGAAATAACTGTTATAAATTGGGTTATTGTTAAGACCAGGACCCTGGAATGAAGCACAGGAACCATCTGTATTATGCGTGGTGGGGCGTTCTTATAATCTAGGTGGGTATTGACGCAACTGCCACGTATTAACTTGTAAATTTTAGAATTATTCGCTATAGGAGACTTCAAATCTTCGGTTGTCTGACTGAGGTAGATATATCCAGCCAAACGTTCCAATCACCACTTATTTTAGGAGAAGAATTTGTCGAATTCGCATATGCTAGTTTGGGGGAGCTTAGCTCATCACGGGCCGGCACGGACGGTAGCAATCGAGTCATGTCGACGGAAAAATTTTACTGCTCAGGAAAACCGATAGCTTGGCGCCTTGGTTGCTTAGTCCTAGAGTCATTAAATCATAGTTTATGTAAAATCCAGTCAGTGCATATCATACGAGCTCAATAGTAGCCCACCCAAAAACAAGTTCCAAAGGTGGGTGATTGAGAGTCCTTTGTGGCAGAATTAGAAGAACATATAGACTGTGGCTCGCATTCTTTAGAGGACAAGAAGCATCGGGACAAAACAAAAAATGCTCAGTTAGTAACAAAGACACGGTATTTCTAACACGTCCATTTCTTTTGTTTATTAAAACATGATAGTTTTGTTCCACCATTCAAAAATACGCATCAAGACAAGTGTGAGCATACAGACTGAAAAGAGGGATAAGGAGCCGTAAATGCGATGAGGAATGACAAAAATTGTCAGAGGTTCATAAGAAGACGTCGTTTGTCAGTCTCAACAAAAGGTGTTGTATTCCCATTTTAAAACCAACTACATGCTAACATTTAGCACGAGCAGCCGCTGGCTTGATGGGTGCAGCCTCGGAAAGAAGTAGAGAAACGAACCGAACGGTGAAACTGAGAGGAAAAGGGAGGTTTGCCGGGGGTCGCTGAGAGTACTGAAAGATTAATTGTTTAAAGACCCAAAAAGACATTAAGGGTAAACATTTCTGACATTTTTCCATAGCTTCGAAATTA